CCCCCCCCCACGCACGTACACACCGCTAACAAACTATACAGGTTTTGTATGGAGTGAGATGAAACAGATATGGGAGGAAGGTTTCAAAGCCTATGTGAGGCAGTGGTGGAACTGGCTGGACTTCCTAATGCTTGCACTCTATCTAACCACTGTGGCGCTCCGCGTTGTGGCCATGATTCTGCGCAAAACGGCTCAGTACGGAACGGAACCAACTCCAAGGACCGAATGGCCCTCGGCCGATCCGACACTCCTCAGCGAGGCCCTATTCTCCATAGCACATATTTTCAGTTTTGCCCGAATCATTTTCCTCTTTCAAGTGAGTTATTGTACGCCCGCCGATGATTGTGTTTGTCTGTGCGTGGTGGAGTTATTCCCAGGGCCCGGGTGCAGCAATCAAAACGTATTGGACTATAGTTAACGTGAGCCAAAATCAGTTGTATAAAACTAACAAAGCCTCCGCGAATGCTCAGCGGTAAAACACAAGGAAATGTATCAAAACGGGCATTTTTATAGAACCACTCGCACCGGGAGATGGAAACTAGGAAGTTAGTACCTTTCTATCGAATTTTTACCCAAAACACCCCTGTTTTCAGTAGCTAGTTTATTTTTAGGCTATTTGTCATTCTCGAGTATCACCCAAGAAGTTACTCATTTAAAATTTTAAAAAGAAGTTAAGGTAAACTGACATTTTTTCAAACTCCCGGTAATCCACTTGTCACCATTTTCATTTCGCACATTTTTGTTCAACTATCAGCATCACCGGGCAGCAACTACGCGGAAGGCAATATAATTTCTCTATCGAACTAATGGAGAAAATTGTTTACATTTGCCGCATAAGTTCACTTGGTTGGGAGAATTGCAACAGCTGAACTTTCAGGGATGAGCACATCATCTACTCCAAATACCTTCAAAATTTTCAGAACTACTTCTCTATCTTCACCAGTACCAGCGTGAGAAACTGAGCTTCAGATAATTAACTTTTGCTTCAGAGGGGATGATTGTTGGGAGGTCTACCAAAAAGCAGCGTTGAAGGTGTCTCACATAGTTGGGATTTTATGACGCAAATCATTACTGGCAATCACTCGCACACATTTAGCATAAATAAAAATTAAAAAGGTATTAGAAAAACTATTCAGACAATAGATATCTATCGGATGTTGATAAATGATACAAAACATAACGCAGGTAGGGAGCTTTGTGACCTGGGTGAGACGTGCACAGTTGTGGAAAGCTGGAGGAGAGCTGAAAATCTAGCAAAGTTTTCATGTAACCTGTAGACTTTGTACATGAATATAACAAACCGCTTCCAAGTCGCTTGAATAGATTATTGAGCAAACAATAAATTTTGATTACGGATGAAGTGATCAATCACAAAAGCAAGGGAGAAAGTTGGCGGTCATGGTGACCTCCACTCCAGCTCGTTGTGGTGGACGTAGCTACAAATAATACATATGCATTTCTGCCAGCAAGGGAATTTCATTAACAAAAGGATTGATAACTTGCACTTGGGGGTCGGTTTTTTCAGTCCTTGTTTTCGCAAACAAGTTCAACTTAGTTTAGGACATTGGAACACAAAATCTATCAAACTCGGAAAATACGGATGTCGATGAGTAGTCACTCGTTTATCATCGGCCTAGATGCTTAATGTGTCACTACGGTAGTTTGCAGACCTGTTGATGAAAAACACCAAGGTGAAACATGAACTTTGTAGAATTGCACAGGAAGAATTGCTGGTCTTTCGAATGCTAAAAACGTTTGAGGTTTTAAATATGTAGGATTCAAAAATACCTTTGGATAGCAATCGCTACATATTGTTATTTATTCCCCGTCAATGAGTCCCGTGTAAAACTCCTTATATCCGCACGTCTGTCATTACAGGCAAAGATTTCAAACTATCTTCAGTTTCGTAACTCTGACGAATCTGACTTTTTCGATTGGGAAATCCCGCCGTTTTTCGAGTTGGTCCAATAGACGAATAAATAGATTTCAAACATTCTTTCATCTGAATATTGATGGTCTTCTTGATCAGCATGAAACTGGCGGAATGTAACACGTGTTTTTGCGCAGTGCATGTGTGGAATATGTCTGCAATCAAAACTAATCATCATTTTTAGTGCAATAAAAATTCATAACTACCCTAGAGTCTATGAAAAACATTGATGAAGACCAACAACACAGCTTATTTGTTTTACTATAATTTATCTTTCCCTCGTTAGCAATCAACTGCAAGTCCACAAATATTCAATAATCATATTGTTCAGCACATGCACATGAGAAACACTTTGGTAATCAATAATGGTTAACTGTCTCATTTTTAATGTTCAAACGCCTGTATTCAGTCGCACAATAAATTATTCTGTTTAAAAAGTAACGTTTCCAGGCTGCTAAGTATAAAAATTTATAAGCAAACGGAAAGGCAGGACACTTTCGGTGCATTTACTTTCATCTCCTCCTTGATAATAATTGAAAGAGTGGGAACAAATGAATTATTTCCTTTTCATTACATTGCTTGATTTTTTCTTCCGATGAGATCCTATTCTGACGGAAACGATTTTGCACATTCTCCCTTTGCGTTGACAAACAAACTATTTCCATTTCGGTCATTTTTGCGTTCGATGTATGTTAGCTCACCCTTACATCAGGTGAAAGCTGCGAATGGAGATGTAATAGTTTGCAACCTCGGTGTGCTCGGTGGCTTACGTTTTCACGAGCATGCCCGTCCTAAGTTCTCCGGAAAACACCTGTCACCGGTCCAAGGATGATTGTCATCTTTGAAAAGATTAACTCACCTTTTGTGCTCAGATAATACATATATACATTTATCCGAGTGCATTCGCAGATGCCCAATAGTTGATGCTGAGTATGATCCACTAGAGATTCGGTTGGACTGCCTGAGCTGACCTGGCTAAGTTCGCAATTTTTGTTGTGGAAGGACCTGACAGGTTGAATTTGGAATAGTGAGCTTCAATCGTTGTTCACACTAACTTATTTGAATGCAATTCCAAGAGTTATCACTCTGATCGCAACACATTTTCTTTTGGAATACCTCGTTTGCGTTAAATTTTATGAAAAAATTGAATAAGAAAGATATAATTATACAAAGACTGCAACTAAACCTTCAGATTATCAATAACTTTGATTGGTAATAAAATAGTGCTAAAATGAAGCTATCAAGCTTTATTATTCAATTTTTTAAATAAACGACTTATTTCATGTTGAGCATGTTGAGCATACAAATGTAACGTTGACTTTCAAAATGAGTTCCATTACTGGGAATAGTCCACCTATCCACCATGATTGGTGTTTACTTTGGACGACGTAAATCTTACCACGCTATATAAATTTCTGAAGCAAGACCTAATGCATGGAGTTAACCGTGCACTACATTAAATTCACAGCCAAATCGAGCAGGAAAGATAGTGAACCCCGATTGCAACATTTTTCAAAAGACAAATCAAATTAATAATAATGAAGAACTGTTCATCACAAGTTTGTCAAGTGGTTGATGGTTTTAGAGTAGCAATCTTGGATTAGCCCTTTAGATTATTAAGAGTCACTAGGCACTCTTGGGAGTGGGTTTCACTCCTTGAGAGATCGTTAATTCCCCACAATTTCATGCATTAACATATGATGGAAATGTTTGTGATAACCGACAAAGAGCACAGGATAGCTGTTTTGTCCTGTTTGGAACTCGTCAGCAGTGCATACTTTGTGTCCCTGTCAGGACTCGAACCGCAAACATTCGGGTTGGGACTTCAAACCCGTATTCCTTAACCTTAAGCCATTCGCACAAGGTGATGGCCGTCGACCGTGTGGCTCAGGACCAAGGGCTTAAAGTCCCAACCCAAACGTTCGCGGTTCTAGTCGTTACAGGAACACAAAAAGTATGCACTGCTGACGAGTTCCAAACAGGACGAAACAGCTGTCCAGTGCTCTTTGTCGGTTATCATAAACATTTTCATCACATGGTTCATGGTTTGTTTCATCGTCTTCTAGATTCACACCCTCCTCGGTTGATGTCTATTTATTTTCAAGATCTATGTTTAGCTGCTGGTAGAAACAGCCTCCATCAGCAAGAGCTCGCGGAAATTCCTTTCTGGTGGATGATCTGTTTGTCCTAAATCCACAGAGTCAAGATGCAGCATCCAGTGTATTTTTTCAAACCGTTGTTTGCATTTTTGGCCTTATATTCTGCTTGCAATTGACTATAGTCTATACAACCGAGAGATTATTCATTCCATTTGTATTCCGAACTTCCTGGAAAGGGATCACTTCGAAGCATGCTGAATACATTTTGGTCTTTCACAAAACCTTTAAAGAATTCTTACTGGTTACCTGAGTTGTATCAAGAAAATATTTTCTATCCTCATTATCGGTGTAAAATGTTTAAGTATATACTTCAAGACTCTTCTTGTGGTGCATTTTGTGCCTATTTGTCACTCACTAAACTGCGGATCAGAAAGACTAGTGCAGGCTATTCCTTCTTGGATTCTATTTACATTGTTACCGTTTTCAGGAAAGCATATCGCTTTCAGATGAATATCCTTCAGGGCATGCAATACACCGCAGTCATAAGAGAGTCAGAAATTTATGTCATTAGGAATAATTATGACTGAAATACATGCTAAAATACCGCTTTCTGTCAAAATTGACCTCTTTATTGTTCTAGTGTTTTATAGGTTTAGCGAAAGAACTTCAAGCAAATCTATCAATTGTCAGAATTGACCACTAATACACTTTGTAAGAGAAAAGAAGTTGATCAAACAAACCCGCTGGCGGTGATTCATCTACAGGATAACGCATCATACTTCATATCAAAGTGTGTCAGGAAAAATATCATTACAAAGTGAGAGAAAACACAAGCTTTCCAGTTCCCTGACTGGGTTTTGCCCACGAATGCTTCTTTGTTTTCGGGTCATTAGGAGATGAGTATCGCAAGTTGTGGTGACCGTGGAGGACCGATTATTCTTACATATTGTTTTTGTGGGCATGAGGGAGGATTTGGTGGGCAGATTTTTGATTGATTCCGCTGCTTTCGAAATGCAATTTCATGTGCGATGACTACCCTTTCTGAGTGAAATCCAGTCATGGAACTGGAATGTGGATTGTTTCTTTTCCCATTTGTCATGATTTCTCCGCCCAACTAAAAAGTTTGATATAGAATGTGATGTATTAGCTTGTAGATAAATCACCGCAAATGTGCTTGTTCGCTACTGTGTTTCCTACAATGTGTAATGATGGTATATTCGAACAACTAACTGAACTGAGAACGGGTGAAAAAGCTCGACCACATTAACCATGTGATCTGACTCCACTAGGTGTTAAAAGAATAAACTGTTGATCGTCCTAATCACTCTACTATTCAGCCAAGCCGGGTGATGTTTGGGGACTAGTTCTTAAAAAGGTCTGCTCGTTCGATCAAAATACCCTGTCCCACAATAAGTAAGGGGGACGTAACAGTCAAGATGATAAAACGTAAATTAAGTACAGCTGTGGAAAAAGTATTTTTTTATAGAGATGCTTTGCGCCGTTTTTAACTCCGGGCGGTTCTTGAGGTTTCAAATCAACGATAAATCGATTAACATCTTAACTGTCAACCTACTTCAGCGATGTGTTGGGACCGAACGGCTGATATGACCGAGAACCATAGGTGACCAGCGTCACATGATCATATGGGCAAACCCGATTGAAGAGCTATTTGAGAAACCAGTCACTTGACGACCCAAATATCGACGGCGCCATCTGTTTAGGTTGTCAATTCTTCCGCTCTCGATTAGGCGAGTGACCCCCGAATTCATATGTCTTCATGTCAGACAATGGCTTACTCTAACATTCTGAATGAGCTCGGCACTTTCTATTGTTCTTAAGTGTTGAAGTTGATGAGTGGGCGCTTATTATCATCAATGAGAAAAGTCATGACCCTGAACTAATGTTTGACTGTTTTCTTGTCGTGGATTTAAACAGGTAGCTGAAGTTAGCAATCATTTAAAATTCCCTTGCATTTTTCAGGTTTTTGTGAGCTATTAAATTTACCACAAAGATCCATGGCCAAACGTATCAAAAACATTATAGGATATTGTTGCACCTAGTTATGATATAAAATAAAAGGTAGGTGTATTTCCAATCTAGTATCCCGCAGTGGATACCCAGAAAGCTTTTCCTCGTGCTGTATTTTTTCGTTATCTTAAACTAAACCAGCCGAGGACAGTTGTATATAGGCAGTTTATTATAGTCGGTTATTTGCTACTTACTCCAATCGCAGTCATCACCATGACCAAACGCTGTTGGTTATCCATAACACTAACTGCCCATCGCACATGTTCACCTCTGCACTCCCTGAGACGTGCACATCGCATGAATCGTGCTTTGACAATCAATTGAAGTAGATGAACCCGGAGAACGAAAGGCTGAAATCCCAATTCCTCTCTCAATGCTTTATTACCTGACAGGGAAAACTTTGGTATTTATTAAACATTATGGTCGTGCAGTCCAACGCATAAGTCTAAGATGAAAAAATAAAATTTCAAACCACCAACCAATACCTTCGTTGCAATTAAAACCCACACGTGGAATTGGTGGGACCTTCTGAGATGTCATCGGACCACTGGCCCTTAAAACGAATGCCAATGATGCACTACCTTCCCGGGCCCTCTTTGCACGTGCTGGGTAAGGCTGGAGGTAACGTCGCGGCTGTCAGCCAATGACAAGGCGTAAAGGTATCAACAAGCTAGCTTCTTCCTTGGCCTCAGTTAGTGCAACCCGCCTCCTAGGTTGAGTCCCCAGAAATGAGCATTGTCGTTTATTAGAGGCAGCGAAAGAGATAGCCTAGAGCAGAATTCAATGGCACAAATGCTGTACAGTCTGCCCGTTGAAATTCCGTGTTCCATAAAAGACAGTCTAAAACAAAAAGTATGAGTGTACCGTGAAACAAAAAATTGTTATTTCTATACATATATATGCTTTCAGTTTTATTTTGAAATCGAGAACACTTACATATGAGGATGCATCCTCAGGAGAAAATGCAGTTCCTTTTGCCAGTAGTAGGTGAAATACGAAATGCAACTGATTGAGATCGACAGCTTGCTTTCTGTGCAGCCGTATTATTTGAAAGCGTAGACTATTTTCTTCGCATAAAATTTAGGCATATTCGTTTTCCTGGTTAAAAGCTACGCACAGAAATGTGTTTCTGTTTCTGTTACAGAATGAAGATCTTTAAATATGATGTTCTTCAGACTGAACAAAGTGTTTCATTTTTCTAGCCATAAATATTATTTTAAGTCTTGCACCAATCCACCCCCTCTACAAACATTCACCAAAACTTTTTTACCCACTGATCAGTTAATCGATCTCATTTATCCGCTTCCCGTGAGGAACACCTTGACATCATCGAACAAATCATCTCAACGAAATCATGCGCTCATCATTTTTAGACCCAGTGGGAGTATGTAAACAAAAACGGTAAATTGTAAAACAACAGTAGGTGCGTGGAATGGTCTGCTTTCAAATCTCAAGCAGATGATTTCAGTGTCAAACTGATCACCTTCACAATTCAATTAACGTTTACAGCGTCACTTTACTACTCTCTCTCTCTCTATTTCTTTCATTCCCAATGGCTTTATAATACCCTATTAATTCCGATATTCCACCCATCTGCTTGACAGGTGAACGAACACCTCGGACCGTTGCAAATCTCGCTCGGCAACATGCTCATCGATATCACCAAGTTTATATTCATCTTCCTTCTCGTGATCTCCTCGTTTGCATGTGGATTGCATCAACTCTACTACTATTACGTGTCAAAACAGGAAGACTATCGACCGGCCGCATTCAGCTCGTGAGTTTTCTCCTCGGTTTTCCGTCTCATTAGTGACAAAATCGGACTCACATATCACATATACACNACACACTGCGGATAAACTTACCTGTTATCATGACAATGATAAGACATAACGATGACTGAAATAGGAAGTTTACCATGTCATGATTGTGACTCGAATAAAACCTACAATTAGGTTCAAACATATGGTAAATTGCATAGAATATTTCACACCAGTTTGACAACGTTTTGTACGCTTCTGAAGAAGCATGTAGAAAAGGATGTGAATGTCCAATGTGTTTGATAATTTGCTGACTACGGGGACCACTAGATAGACGTACGCAGTCAGTGAACAGAATAACTAGCTTATTGTGTTAGAAATGTTTTCAGATACAGCTTGGTATACTGAAACACTCAACATTTTTGACTGTATCTCATTAAAATGAAAAAGAAATTCATTGGATACTGTACGGCTCCTGAACGAACATCAAAGGTGTATGTGAAGTTATTTTGGAATTAAGATTGTGAAAATGATCAATATTCGTCCTGCATATCTAGTCTGAGAGAAATACCAGATTTGCTTCAGAATTGGTCGCACAACCAGGCTTGGATAATTGATTGTTCCCCGTTAAACACCTGCTCCCTTGTTCACACAGTGGATTGATAGACACCAAACTCCTTCGACAGTGAACTCTATACACTCCGATTCACTTCACAGGAAACGACTGTCAAACGTCCAGTCAAAATACGTTGCATTCTCATCTACACCAATTATCATCGAACCTCCACAGAAGAGAAGCACAAATACGAGCAAACTGATAGGGTAGTACAAGTTCAGTATGCTGAATCATTCTGTACAGTAATCACTAACTTCGGTTGTTCCCAGTATTCCTGCGATAAAAATCAAAGAAAATATGACGTTAGGTCGAGGAAAGAGAGGCATTATTTCCAAACGCAAAGTGCGATAAATAAGCAGTAGTAAACAATTATTTGGAACAAAAGATTTGATAAAAGTGCAACTTTCTTTTTCTCAACGGATTCAAATTAGCCGGTCCATAGTGGTAAGTCGATAGATGAACCGCATCTATCATTAATTGCCCGAAATTTCTGTGGCAGAAAGATAAACGTTCCTGCACAACGACACAACTGATGTATTACGAAATACTTTGAAACTAATAGCAATATTAGCTGTAATATCCCAATTCCGATAGGAATATGACCACTAAAATTATTTTACTTCAGATTATTAGCCGTTGACCACATAGTTCAGGGTTGCAGTTTTCGATTCCCAACCCGAAAGTTCGTGGTTTGAGTCTCGTTTACGAAACAAAAACAGTAGGTTGACGAGTAATATCGAGAACTAAAATACTGTTTACGGCACACTGTCGATCACCACGCACGAAACGGAACAGAAAAGGCTTTGGTGTTTGAACACAACAGTTATCTAGATGTTTTTCTTCGACCGTGATACACCTCAGCCCGAACGCATAAAAAAGAACATACAAAACGGAATACTATTACCCACAAATGTCTCGCTATTTACGATAAACTTTTTTTATCTAGTTGTAGAAACTGGAATTTGGCCAAAGTATACAGGTTTATGTGACATGCACGCCACAGGATTTCATGGAAGGTAGATAATGAAGAAAATTACAGATGTTAAAGTTGAAAATTCGAGTCAGTTTCGGAACCATTTTACCAATTGTAATCCTAATGTTGGTCACCTTGCCTGCATGAACCCAAACATTAGTCATCATCTAACTTAAACTGTTTACAGTATTTTCTGTATTCAGTTGTCTGAACAGTCCTACAAAGCACATTTTAAATCTCCACTGAAAACGAAGGACAAAGTCAAGTCAGGCCATTTCTAACTATTCTAAAGCATCCGGATATGTCACTAGTTAAAGAGAAAAATGATTTACCGGTATAGGGCACACTCCCAATACAGGTTATTCATCCTATTCAAATCGGATGCGGAATTCACAAAGACGGTAGTGGTTCGTTCATTCATGCAATCGTCTGGATGTGGATTGTGTAAAGCGAGGATCAGGGGTGGGCTGAGGTGCACGCACGCAATTCGTTTGCGGTTCTCATTGGCATGGAGGAGAAGATGAATTTCTATCACTTTGGCTGAGACTAGCACACGACAACGAGCCTGTCTTAATAATCCACCGGCAATCTTATCCACTTTGTCTTACTGCATTTAGAATTTCATTTCAGGTAACAAACTTATTGGAAGATAATAATCTACTTACGAGATTATCTTCAAGATTACCGTTACCTGCTTATTCAATGCCATACTTTATATACTCTGCTCAAGTCGAATTTTCACAACTGTGCGGTTTACATGTGTGATTTTGAGTTAAAATATTACCGGATATAGATTGAACTAATATAACATTCACAATATAATTAAAAATAAAATTATTTTATACTTCCGCCTCAGTCGTAAACTGGATTATCCCGTGTGTTACACATTGCCAGCAGAACAATTTAGAAGGATTGGATTCAGCTTTGCGTGTAACAAAGGGAACTGTCTAACACCACAATTAAAAATGCCGGTAGACGGTAACCTGGAAATGACCCACCGATCGAACGAGCTAACCAAATAAGTGTTGGGTGACAGGTGCAGCGATGTGTCAATATTGGGAACATAAGTGTGGGATTTCTGAAACGTAACACTCATATTTCCAACTGAATTTTGGTGATTTAAGAGCTAGCCCAGAGCAACCCGCGAGTAGACATATTGGGAACACAATGTGTCGACAGCTAGTTATGTCAAACTTCATTGATTTATGTCCTGAATATAAACTATATACAAACTATACAAACAATATACAAACTATATATAGTTTGACTGTGATAAGCACATTTGTATAATATGAGGGGTAGTAAATACTGAATTCGAATAATTGTTGTCAGAATACTACAAGACCGCTGAGGATATATAGCAACTAATGACTGTCTCTATACCAATACGGATCTGATGGTCGAGAATATCGCGATACTGCGCGGTGCAAACTAAGCTGCACATCCAGTTGATGTGTGTATGACTATACCCCGGATTTTACAACATAATTTTCTCCACTAGTGTTACAAACATACTTAGTATAAAACCGGATAATCTTTTAGACTTTAGTCCCATCAGTTAATATTAGATGCACTTTAAATTGATCAAAACAGCTTCGAAAATCTAAAATATTTTTGAACTTGATCTCTAACTACCTGATTACATCGGGCTAAAATCAATTTGCTACAAAACGTTTCGTTTATTGTAAATGTGGACAACATGAGTCCGACCAACTTCTCATCGCGGGGGCTAGTGCCTAGATCATTGGGCTCCGATACCCGTAAAATCCTAGTAACGACGAGTCGTGTTTTTCGCGGTATGGATAAAAAAAAACAGTTTGATCAGATGTCCATTGGTAGCCATATGGAAAGCATACATGCTTTCTATCTTTCAGATCCTGTATTTAACCGGTGCTTCAGGCTCTCGGTTCATATGTCTCAGGCTCTGGATACGAAACAAATAGACAGAATATCGTCGACTAACATAATCTATCTGAAAGTCGGCGGAATGGTTGTATGTTCAACAAATATAAAAAGGAGAAAACATTATTATTATTGTCATACTTCAGATCATTCGATTCGGTGGGATTTGAACACTTTGCATGACATTGCATTTTGACCAAAAAGTTGCAATTCACAGAATCATTCCTCTCAAATTATGACTGGAAAGTGCAAATGTTTTTGTCTTATCGCAAATAGCATTCGTTGTTCATACCTTGAAGATGCTTACGGAAAACTGCAATTGATTGAGTCCCCTTAACTTCACCTGGTTCCGGAATATTTAGAGATGGTGAGTTATTCCCTAAATGAATTAAGAAGCTGGAAGACAACTTTATTCTGACTTTTGTTTGGGATGAGTAAAAAAAGGTTGCCCATTGCCATGGACAAAACAAAGGGGCGTGCACCGATCCTGTTTGTTTGTTCTTGTCCGTCATCTGGCACCGAATTCGGCTGTACCACAGTTCGCTTGTACCAAACAAATATACCAAGATTCAAACTGAATTTCTCCGAAGTTGTTTACATGCAAACAGAATTGCCAATTCACAAGGAACTATGCACCTGACAGAGGACGTGTGCGTGTGAATTTGCCGTCCCCAGGTAACGCCCCCGTTCTCCAGCTCCACACAAATACAAACCCCAGTAAACTCTGAATGCCCCTCGTTCTCCAAATGCCTTAACTCTTCGTAGCTATGGTTATCGTATCAATACCTTATTGTGTAACATCTCACCACATAAGATTAGTAAAATAAACAAATAAACGATTTTCTGCCTGATCGAAAAATTGGACAACTAAACGTGCCACGAAGAGGCTATCTCAGGTGCCAGTTCAGATCACAGTGTGTGACTGCCAGTCAGTGATTAAACTAATGGATCAATTGGAGCATGATTAGAAAGATGTCACTAATTCAGTGTCAATCAGAGCGAAGTTTGTGGCGTGGTACAAAAACACCGACAAAAGAACAAGTGAATCGCACGACGCTGTACGAACTCACAAGTCGACATTGGTGAAAAATAAATTATCTCCTCAATACCAGTGCGAATGATCCAGTTCTACAAATTGACCTAATTGAGGATAAAAATCCATGCTTGGACAACCAGGTTTAATTCTGCTGTACAT